ATTTGAAAACAAGTTAGTAAAAATAGTCATTTTATAATTAAGTACATATATCATTTTTAAGATAATAACAACGGTTGCTATGGCAACCTAATGCTAGCGGTTACTATGGCAACTGAGGCGGTTTCTCTTGACGATTTTTCGTGACGATTGATTCTTTATGCAAACAAAGAAGTTTTATTTCAAAAACTTGGTTATTAGAATGAAACCACTTAACTAAATCGTTATAATAATTATTTTATATATCTATGTAAGAAAGAGGTCTTATCAGAAATACAGAAACATGGATTCAAATTTACATTGAATATAATAATGTTTAAATTGCAGATTTTAATTTATAACGTCGAAAGTTAAAGGAGAATACGCTGCCGTCTGTTTTCGCTTGGTCCAAGTTTTTACTATCTTATGCAGCTGCTTGGAAAGAAAAACTACGAAATAGAAATCTGAAAAAGACCTTTTCACACAAGAATACAAAATATTTGCATTGTTTTATTTTTCATTTTAAAGGTAAATACTACTTTCTGTCCATTAATGACAGAATTTGATACAAACTTTCATCCCCCATTTTACCCCCTTATGGGATTGTATTTTGAAAAATGCTAAAACACGTAATAAGTACTGAATATAAAATAAATATAATATACATTACACACACAATAATACATTACACGGGTAAGATGCGAACACAATAAAAGCAAAAACCAGGTACAAGAAATATAAATTGCATAACTTAGACTGAAAATAGATCATACATGCAGCGCCCTCCTTTCAAGAAATCTTCCCCATTTCTATTTATGAAACGAGGCATCACTACTTGAATACAATACAATGTAGAGTATTATGTCGTCTGTTCGTTCATCAGGAACAAAAAAAATGATTCAAATAAGTCAAATATAAGGCGTTAAATGAATAAATTACTTATTGAACTTTGTGCAAAATTAACAAAAAAAAATAGGTCTGAAGGAATATTTTATGGCGTTAAAAATATACTAAATAAAGGAAAACGAAATAATGCGCTTCTATATCTGTCTGTTTGTAATGTTAAAAAACATCTTTTTACTAAGTGAAATTATATACAGTACTTACAAGAAAAATACAATTTTAAAAACTTTTGTCGGTCTGTTTGTTCCGGCTAATCTCCGAAACAGCTGGACCAATTTTGACGGTATTTTCACTGGCAGACAGCTCACGTTATAAGGAGTAACTTAGGCTGCTTTTATTTTAGAAAAATAATTAGGGTTCCGCTCAAAAAAATTAAAACGTACCTTGGGATGCACCCTAGCGCAGAGAGGATATGTTGATAGTAGTTTCTAAGTGATTATCGATCAATTTGTTCGTAGTACCGAAAGCATATTCATTGTGTATTTTTATGAGCTATTTGCCACGAATGAAAAAAACCATTGAAATTTGTATTGTGCTACATAGTACATACCATGAACAAGACAGAAATAATTTTTAGCAAAAAAAATTAATTTATTTTCAGCAATTGTACAATATTTTATGATGCCATGTATATCCCAAATATTGTATGATTGATCCCATGAAGTGTATGACTCGGATGAGTCACCTGTTACCTACTTTTTACAACAATAATAATCATGGGCGCCAGCAGCCAAGTGAAGGGTGCAAGTGGACCCATGAAGGACAATTTGTAGAAAAAGTTAAAGATATAAAAATAAAGAGTAAAATCCATGTTTTTACAAACATCTGCTAAAGAGAGAAAAATATTGCTCACGAATATTAAAAAAAATATTACATTTATGAATAAAAATTATAAAGTTAATCATTTAAAGATTAGTTAGTAGTTTAATTTGAAGAATCAAGAAGCAGAAGTAACCCTTCAGACCCTCTAAGAATTCTGTTGCCGCCCATGAATGATTATATTCTAACAAAACAGGGGATTCAAATAAAATAAAACGAACACACAGTTGAAACAGAATCGTCGCTTTATTCAGCAATTTCCGGTTGAAAAAAAAATATCAACAAAACTACACTGAAATTCTGAACATGCCTATTTTTACAAACAATTTACAGCGATATTATAATACGGCGGCCATTTTGAACGCTCGGACCGACATGACAGGACGTTAAGAAATTAATATTTACATTAAAAAGAAACTATCGCAGGCTCGAGGGAAGCTAAGGAAAAGCAAACTAACCGCCATTATCCGCAAAGCGTTCAAAAACTCCGCTCCTAAATCTAAAAATCAAACTTATGAGGTACACGTCTTCCTATCAACTTTACTAAGCGTATGTTAACAGCCCCAAAAATGAGGCCAATTTTTTTTACATTTTTTTCCAAATCTGCAGCCTTTTGTACAGTATATGATACTTACTAATAATATATTATGTATAGACATAGTTAAAACCGTAATTTTTTTTGGTCGCGAGCCCTTTTTCCTAGCACGTGTCATAGAAACCACGTGTTATGGAAAAAAAACTACACTAGATTTTTTTTGAACATTGAAACGGGACGCGTCTTAGCGCTGTATACGAAACCCCAATTACATTTAAATACATAATAAGAGATATATTTTTTGCATTTTTCTGCTTATTTTTTTTTTCTAACGAGAATTAATGAGTGGAAATCCGAAAAAGAAACTACCTTTAACGCCGGGAGCGACTCACGTTTTGCATTACAATATCTCCTAAATGCTCTAACACATCCTCTAAGCCTACGTTATAACACATTGATTATAATATTTCGTATTTTTTCATCATTCTTTTCGAACTGCAATGTTTAAAAAAAATGTGTGGAATAGAAAAGGAAAACGACAATTCGGTATTAGCTGTTATAAAAAATATATCCAAAAATACAATATTATGTATTATATTCCCAAGTTTCTCACTTTAAGCCATTTTCAACCAAAAACACTGATGTAGTTAATAGTAGTTTCTTTAACAGTAATTGTTGCAACACTGTAGTAAAAAGACGAATATTTTACATTACAACACGTTCTATGGGAAGCTCTCTAAGAGATTGAGTGACTTTTTGTTATATTTTCCGAATTATTATCAATAATTTATTATTATTATTATTTTTGTAAATCTATTAAATATTGTAAGCTATTTATGCTTTAACAAAACTAAAGTAGCGTATTCAACGTAAGATATTGGATGTGAACTTTAAATAGTTAAACCACACTGAATTAGAAACTATTACGAGACAAAGATATGTTGTTAGAGCAATATTAATGTACGAAAAATATTATATCCAACAAAAAAAATCATTATTTATACAAATTTGAAAAAAAAACTAGAATACAAAAAAGACGTTCTATTGTTATTAACACTTTTTTATATAATATAAAGAATGACATACACAGAAAAAAATCCGTCACAGACAAAAAATACTTTTTTTTTTAAATCTCTTACAACATATCCGTATCCAGCATCCAGTATACACTTATAACTTTTATTTGGCTATTTTTTATAGAAAAAATATATTTTTTTTAAATGGAACAGATTAAAAATTGTCGATAGTATAAAACTACAATAAATACACGTTTACACGCGGGGGTTAGTTGCGTTTTCCGTTCATTATGTAAATACTATCAAAACCTTCCACACTGACGACAATTTCAATACATTTTGAGTTCCAACTTAAAACATCCTTTACTAAGAACGCAATCTCAAAAGTATCAAAACGTATCACGTACTGAGTATGATTCGTGTGAACGATTTTGATACTAGCAAGGGAATATTGTAAGACATTTAACCAGTCCATTATATAATAAAAAAAGCGGAACAATAAAATTAGCATAACACTTAACACATTTATAGGCTAAAAATATTTACCGACATTAGTAGTGGGTTCGATTACTGAGGCGTACATTTTTTTTATTATATAATGAAACAATTTCTCATACAGAGTCCAAAGATGAGATATCCTAAGCATTTGGATCTTACAATTTGAGTCTGGTCCGGCCAGTCTAAGTTATATTACACATTAATCTATATAATACAATATTACAATTCATACATCAAATATACACTCGACGACGATTTTATTTTATCGCAAATATTTTTTTTTATTTTTTGTTTCATTCGCGTGAAAAATAATAACTAGAGAATGTTTTTTTTTCTAAAAACAAATCCTAAGCGCAATGCCAGCCGCGCTTTAGCTTGTGTATGATTACAAATAAGAATGTTTATAACAGCGTTCATACGATTTTAGACTGACTCTCCAAAGCGAGTTCATATTACATGTTGACCATCGCCACATACATGACCGTCCACCATTAGATATAATACAGATAATAAAAAAAATCGTAATACAGATAATAAAATTTAATAAAATTTATGGGATAAAATAAGAGTATAGATAATACAAAACACCACATGACGGCTGGCCTTTGCAATGTATTTTACATGTATTAACTATGTCACAGCCACTTAAATTATTTTTAACGAAGCTTGCTTTACACTAAATGGACCGAATCCTCAGAGAAAAATTCACAATTTCAGATGAGATTAGTTGCCAAAAAAATGGAAACACACTGTTATATCTAAATGTATATTTCAAACAAATTCATATTATATTTGAGATATAATATTATAGTTTTGTAATAGTGTGTTACCATCTTAATGTCTAATCTAGGTACTTTTACAATCAGTATAATTATCTTTTGTTACGCTTTCTAACATTTAAACCTTTAATAGTAGCATTTACAATTTTATAATATTTTTTTATTGTATAACACTTTATATACTTTCTTACATGTTGGTTAAATGTAATAAATAAACTGTATGATTTTATTTTAATAACCGAAATAGTTATTGTTGTTGCATTTTATCAAAAATTTTCAATCTACCAAATCACATATTGTGAAAGTGTAATGTAAAATTTTTGATAAAATCTTAATATAATTTAATTAATACACAATTTTGAAATTTAAATCACACATTTATAATTTTTTTACAATAATAATTTGCACAATTTTAAATTCTTATAACCGATTCAAAGTCCAATATTAGTTCTTTAATTAATTAGGTTTTTGCTAGAATGCTAGTATAGGTAAAGTTGACGAGTCAAAGCTATTTGAAACAAGATATAAATTTGATTGCAACTCGTTAGTTGAAACATCTGGTTCCGTTGTTGGTATATCTGAGAAGTCGTTGGGCACATCTAACTTGACCGTTAGATTGATATCGTCGTTAATATAACGAACTAGATCACCCAAATCGTCTAATCCGTTATTCTTTACTAGTCCCTTATCACTTTCACTACACTTTATTGTAGACTTTTCACTATGTGTCTGATTGTTTGTTTCACTAAACTCCTTTACACTTTCGTTTGGTTGAATAATTTCACTACCTTCATTATTGATATCATCAATTTTATTTTCAGTGTCATTAGAATTAGTATTAAACGTTTCGCTGTCCCTATCAAACGGAAATTGACTTCCACTCGAACTATCTGTTACATTAAACTCTTGTTTATCATTAGTTGGAGATACTAGTGTTATTTTTTGATCATCGTCCACATCACCGTCGCTCTTTTCCTTAACAACTTTGAGCAGCTCATCAAAAGTCATACAACGATTACTTTCGGTACTTGTACATGTTTGTGTCACACTTTGCCTCGGCTGTGTATTACTATCAAGCGACTCCTCTTCATTATTAATGTCACTTTTATCTATTTCTTTATCAAATTTTCTATAATTACTTTTAATTTTTTCAGTACAACTTTTAAGTAGTTCGTCAAAACTCATGGTAGGACTTTTATTAGCTTTTTTATTATACTTGTGTCTGAAACTTTTATGAGACTGTTCACTTCGACGAGAATTATTTTTACACCTTTCTATATCACTTCTACTGGGTTGTATTATTGGATCATAATTACTTTTGTCATCTTTACGGAACTTTCCTTTTTCGGTTTTCTTTGGCATGTCCTCTTTAAGTAGATTATTTTGACTGTCAACATAATTCTTTCGTTGATTGTAAATTTGCATATTATTAACTTTTTGTTTGTAACTTTTTAGAAGTCGATCGAAAGTTGAGCTTTTGTTTTTATTTTTATATTTATTTTTTTCAATATTCCTTTTCGGTGAAAACTTTCGATTTTTGGTGACACTTTTATAATTTTCGCTATCTTTAGTTTTACTAGTTACTTGTATTTTGTCAGCACTCGTACATATTTCTTTACTATCCTTCTTATCTTTATTTTCACTGGTTTTATTACACTTGTTACTAACACTTTGAAATGATAATCCACTGCACTGATCATCTTTCTTACACTTATTGCCACTTTTACGGTTACCTTTACTAAGTTTTTTGTCAATATCAGTTTTGGTATCACTTTTTCGTTTACTGTTCGCATTAATTTTCCTATCACCTTTACATTTACTTTCACCCGGCTTCACTTGACATTTGCTACTATTCGAAGACTCACCGCGATTGGACCGATATTTCGATTTTACTTTAGAAGAACCTTTAAAACACTTGGCATTGTCTTTAACACTATTGGTTGTTTGGTTGTCAGAACCCTGGTCCATGGTTCGGTTGCGTTCGCTACGATTGCGGTTGCGGTTGTTCGGTTGTCACGTAACCTCCATGGGCAGGGTGTCAGTGGGTCGTCTCCTGACGCCGTTGGTAGTGGATTCATCCCCGTCTGTGGCGAGGCTCGTATCGGTGGACATATTGGCGTTAGTGGACGTGGTGGGCGCAGTGGAGGCTTCTACAATTTCTCTGCAATTAATTAAATGAGGCTATTAATAATTTGGGTCATTTTACAATTACATTTCTTTATAATTTTTCATTTAATTTCGATTAATATAATACAATAAATAAATATAAATAAAACCATTGTAAACATATATCCTATTGCGTGTATCACATCACATGCACTGTTATATCTCCTGCAGTTAGCTAATCTCATTGAAATGGGTTAATTAATATAGCACAAACGAAATCAGTTAAGACATTATCTATACAGATAAATAAAATTGAAGTGTCTGTTTGTAATGTCAAAATAACAGCTTTTTAATAAATGCGTATGAAATTATATACGGTATTTATAAGGAAACAATTTTTATATTGTTTGTCTGTCTGTCTGCTTGTTCCGTCTAGTCTCCGAAACTGCTGGACCAATTCTCACGGGACTTTCACTGGCAGACAGCTGATGTTATAAGGAGTAATTTAGGTTATTTTCATTTTAGAAAAATAATTAGAATTCCGTTAAAAAAAAATAAAACGCTTCCAGTGACGCAGCCGAGCGAAGCGAGGGCAAGTCTATAGTTTTTAATAATTATCGCACTACTATTATAAATACCAAAGTCTGTATGTTTGTTATTTCTTTGTACTTCTTTACGCTGACTAGCTTAACGAATTTTAATATTTAGACACGTTCGTTCAAAGTTAACATAAGAAGGCTATAAACTGGAGTAACATAAAAGTTAAAATCGGTTTAATACAATAATTAACTAGGAACGCATCCTAGCGTGAGAGTGTGGTGTGGCTAGTAATATGTCTGAATGCTCGTACGTTTGTCCTCTATGCGTTCCTAAACCACTGATCCGATTGATGCTGGTGGGTCATACTGCAAAGGTCTCTGGCTCAAAAAAAAAAACTTTTCTTTGGAAGTTTGTTTCTTACGCCCTCCTAAACCATTCGAGCATAGCTGTGTTTGTGGCCGCACTCATCCGAAACGGCTCGACCGATTTTAATGATTATTTTTTGTATATTTGTTATGTATGAGAATAGGTCGTAAAGTATTTTCACCCTCCTATCCTCACCCCCCATTTTAATCGCGATTTTTGTATGAACATAAAGCCATATGAAATTTTAGCCGCGGGTTCTGCTAGTAAGATATAGATTAGAAAAAAGAACTTACGCAACCGGTGTGGGACGGGGTTGAGCTATCAGCCGTCCCTGTCTGGCCTTCAATTGTGCTGTAGTGATCGCTATGGCTTGTACATTTGCTGACAACGCCTGCCCCCCGGGTCCAGATATGGCTATCTTCTGCCCCTTCGGCAATACATTCTTCTGCAGCAGATTAGCTACAACTGAACTTGGTATCGATGCCGTTTTGGTTGGCGCGATCGTTATACTGGTCGACGGTTCAGATGAGGTCCTCGCTATGGGCGTTGTTACTTGTATCGTACGATTTTTCAGTTGAAATTGCTGTCGTACCGGCGGTCTGACTGGTAGGGCGGCGCGCACTATCTGTCGTCCGTCCAGACTGACGCTGACGCGATGTCGTGTCGCGGCCGTCACGTTGCCTTTTAATGTCCCATCGAATACGACTTGCCTTTTTTTAGCATCAAAGTCTAACCTAGCTACTGATGCTTTGACCGGTGGCGGTTGTCGCAGTACATTTACCAAATGCGGCCCTTTTCCCAATTGTCCGCTTTTGATTTCGAAAAATTGCGCTACAGAGCCGGGCGTTTTTAATAAAGCCGGTGGTTTTGCGTCACCTAAGGTGGCTAAGGACACTACAGCTGGTAGCTGCCCTAGAGACCTATTTTGGGCGAGTAACTGAGCCCTTTGAGAGTGGGATAGGGGGTGCGCGTGTAACACTTTCAGTTTGCTAGGGTTGACGTGGTGCATTTGCGGGGTCACCACGACCGATTGGTGATGTATTTGTAAGGGTTTGTGTGCAAGGGCGGGGGCTAGCTGGACGAAGGGGGTGACACGTCGTGTTGTGTTGGCTATGCTGGCGACGTTGGCCACGTTAGCCATACTGGCGACGTTTGCCACGTTCGTCACGTTGGTCACATTGGGTATTTTGCCGGTGCCGGCTGTCACCACGTTGGCCACACTTGCTACTGTTGCTGAACCTGAAATATATAATTATATGTATTTTTTTTATTTTAGTAGGGGCGAATTGGATTTTAATAACAATAGAAATATATAATATATAAGACGACTTTCGTTATAATCAATAAAACCGACGTACTATACAATTCCTCACAAACATTTTTAAATAGTCATTTTCTTTGCTCTATATATAAAACCAATTTTATTGTTTATTGTTACCCAATTCTAAAAACGTGTACAAATTATTATTTTGAATTTACCGCGTCTATTTTGATAAAACAATTTAAAAATAATAAGTAAGGATATAATGTACAGTATTATTATTTATTTATTGAATTAATGAATGATTAAATAAATAAATAAATAATACAACCAATATTAACACGAGCACCCACCTATCTCTCGATGTTGAGCGGCATTGTGCACGGGCAGCGCCACGGCGGTGAAGGGCCCGTTCTGCAGCAGCCCGACCACCGCGCCCGCGCTCGACGCAGTCACGCCTTGGTTCTGGAGACGCACCTGGACACATACATACATAAAAAGATTAGATATTATTAATAACTAACGGACTCGCAATAACTCCGTTAGAGTTAGTCCCTAATTACGTTTAACATTTAGTATAGATTTCTCAGAGATGAGATTTTTTACAAACGGACAACGAAGTGATTTTATAATTGTTCCTTTTTTGAAGTAAAACTTCTTTACGCACGCTTAACTTGGGGTAAGCTTGTGAATGCGTAACGAAAACCGTAACCGTTGTTATTTTCTAACAAATGATATATAATATTATTTTTCCTTAAATTATATTCTATAAATATATGGTTGTTATATGCCTAATATGCGTTATTTTTAGTATCTCACCTATTTATTTAAAACACAAATTGAATTTCATAAATAGTACCGATAACCTTCAGAAGTTTTACTTTTTGCGCGTGTACACATTCAAACACGCACACTTTAATTTTTTTTCAGGTATAGAACCCTAAAAAATAAAACAAACTAACCTTCAAACTATCAGACACGGCGACAGTCACTATCTGTGGCTGTGGCGCCTCTGACGTCACTATGGTGACGTCACCACCACGTCTGTGGGCCGACGTTATTATGTGTTTCTTCAACGGCGAATGCTTCGTTTGTACCGTCTTCAATTGAATCCCGTGGGATATTTGCTCCTCTATAGTATCTTCCTTCCTTTTCTTTTCCACTTTGATCGGCACCTCGTTCACTTCCTCAACTATTATCTTCGATGTCGGCACCGGTATTGATGGTTTCTCTACCGGCTTGAGCTTCACTTTGGGCGTGTCCGGTATAATTTTATCTATATACACAGGCTCTTTAGCCGTGGGGTTGACTTGCACGAGACTCGAACCGAAAATTTCCTTTTTTCTTCTGTGGCCAGAGACAGTTCGCCCATCCCGACTCTGGCCATGCAATAAAAAAGAATCTTTCGCGTCAACATCCTTCACCAGCTCTTCCAGAAGATCGTCTGTTATTGCTATTTTTTTGTCATCTTTTGTTATATCAACATCAGCTAACGCTTTTAGGTCCGTTTCAGATAGTATACTTTCCACTTGGGCCTCGGTAAGTCCTGTGAAGTTTTCTGTCAGCAAATCTTCCCCGCTCATATCTAGACTGCCGCTGTTGTCCATTTCGGGGTTGATGTCTCCGTATAGGTCATTTAGGGTGAACTCCGTGGTCCTAAAAGGATCTAGACCCTCGGAAGGCTCGGATATTTCCACTATTATGGGTGTATCTAGTGCTATGGGGAACTGGTCATCTGATGGCTTTTCGATGTAGGGCGGCGATAGAGGCGGTGTTTTTGGTCGGAAATGTAACCTGGGAATAAGAAAATTTATAAAAACTAGTATTTATATTCTATTTAAGTATCATTTGTGCACTCAAAAGAATAGCTGAATTTTATTTATATACACAAAATCACTATAATAATAAAGTAAACATGTATGAGTCTGAATAACAAGTGTTTTTCACAAAACCTTTATAACATAATTTATTTTAAAAAAACTTAATTGCATGCAATAAACCAGTTAATTACTTAAAAAAAAAAACCAAACCCACCATTTCTTATTGACTTCATTGATAAACTCCTCAAACTCCCTCTCAGCGGGTTGCAAACTCTCATCCGAGTCATAACTGCTGTCATCACAAACGGACCAAGACCGCTTCCTGATGACCCTCTCTAGATTCTCTCTCACATAACAGTCTATTGTTCGCTTATCACTATCACTATTTTCACTGTCCGTTAACACATTAACTTTATCAACGTCCATTGACTTCGCCTTGACGCCGTCAACGCCCAGTTTGACGTCGCTGACGTTTGATTTGACGTCTTTGACGTCGGTGATGTTCGTTTTGACGTCGGCGATTTCATTTCTAACAAGCCGGTCGGTGTCCTTGACGGCGTGTCGTCGGAACGCGTGACGCCATGGATATTTACCGCCCGTGTGGTAATCTCTCGTCATCACTTTTGGCGTTCTATGAGGCTTGGTTTCCAGATCGACCTGAAATTATTATGTCAGTTAAAAATTATTATTATTATAATAATGGTGATGACGATCAGGAGGACTTTGACTGTTGTCATGATTACCAATCAATTTCACTGAGAGTTGTCAACTGTAGGGCATTTCCCATGTCCACTCTCGCCCTGTCACACCTCACACCACTGTTACAACACACACTTACTCTCATAGGCCTAGTTCCATATACAAAAGATGATTAAATATAACATCCGGTAGTATGCATTTCCGCTTACACTTACTACTCCGCACTATAGATTCCGTAACGTAATAAGAACGCTGGTCGTTTACCTGCGCACTGAGCGACTTATCGATACAACTGATGGTATGAAGGGGACGCGACATGGGAGTACCCATTATGATTTTACAATAAAACAACTATACTCGTATTATAAAACAATTGTTTAAATAAATAGTAGGCCGCGACCACACGCGGGTGCAGACACATTCTCTCCGCAATCACTCAGCGTTCTTTTAACATGGCGGGACCGATACTAATACTGTACTTTTGTATATAAAACGCACACCCACCTCCTCGTCCTGTATAGATGTATAGATAGACAACAATCCAAAGAATCGAACCCACCTCCTCGTCCCTCCTAGCCCTGTCCGCGGTGCTGCCGGCGTGCTCGAACGGCAGCCGCGGCCAAAGACGGTCCAGCGGCGTAGCCACGCGGTCCAACACCACGCGCCCGCCGCGAGCCGCGCGCCGCCGGGCGAATCCCACGCAGCGGGAATGCGGGTGCGACACTGACGTCAGCGTGAACCTATGCACGGACAGACATATACATATATTCAAATTATTAATAAAAAAATTATAGTGTTGACAAAGTTTGTGGTATGGTTTTAAGCAAGTAATTTTTGAGACCCCGCTCTTACATAACAAAACGTACAGTTCGTATACCATTGAAGTGTTCCTAAATTACTGGACCAATTTTGATTTTTTTTGTGATTCCCTGGATAGATTAGATTTACAAACGGGACCCGATAGATGGGGCTACAAATGGTTTACCTAACCTAATGGTCTCAAACTATCTCCTTACCAAATTTCAATTGATCCAGAGCTTAACCCCTACAACGTCACAAACTCACAAACTTTACCTCTATAATATTAGTATAGATTGCACAAACCTAGTCCTCTCATCCACCTCATGTTCGAAGAAACCATCCTTTGAGGTGTTGTCGGGGTCCACGGGGTCGCCGTACAGAGTCGACGTGGGCTGCATTACACAAAACATATCTTATTACCGCATAATAATAAAAAATTGTTAGTTTGTTTGTAAATATTACACTAACAGTAATATACGTTTTAATACGACATATGTTTTAGATAATGTGTGAGTGTGTGTTACTATAATTTTTATTTATATGTTGCAGTCAAAACTGCTAATAATTAACTGATAAAAACAGTCAAAAGTAATTTGGATAGAAAAGATAGATCAATATCACTTTTGTCTGATATTCACCAAGAGAGTTAGTCAAAACCACTTTAATTAATTAAAAAATTGCCGTACCTAATCTTGCCTAAAATATTTTATACCTCCTTATCTCCTCAATTTCTGATTCTGACCGATATAACCACTCAACACTGCGATTAACCGAATCCTAAAGCCAAAACTACTTTTGACTAGAAAAAGTTTTGACTGTAACATTTGTAGTTTTTTTTGTATAAAATGACTTAGCCATTCTATACATACGTAAGTTTGTGTTAAGCAAAAAGTTTGCATTAAAAAAGTTATGATTAATTAATTATTTAAGCTTGGATATTGCGTAAATAAACTTTTAAGTATAAATTTAATAAATAGCAATGCATATAATATATATAAATAATATGTTTTGAAATCCTAGACAGACATAATAATTATTAATTTATACGGATTAATAATTCCAATTAATTTATTTTTGAGGCACAATACATAATAAAATTTAATTCAATACAGGGAAGGAAAATAATTTAAAAAATATCTAGGAGGAAGCGTCATTGTAATAATTATTTTCTCATTAAATGTTATGTGGTTTAATCACGAACAAACGAACCAAGAACTTCACAATCTGCAACCGTACATGCTAAACACTAGACCTACGAGGCAGTTATTATTTTTTAAAATATAAATTTAGCAGCGAACGAATGAATTCAATCATTCTCTGATATGACAACGAATGAGTTCTACAAACAAATGAGCGAATGAGCGCATGTGAATAAATCAATTCATTCTACGAACGCATGATCGAATGTGTATATTATGCATACACCATCCACCAATGCATTAAATTCTTCATTTAAAGAACGAAGGAACGAACGAAATAATATGTGTATGTATAAATGAACGAATTATTTAATTCAACGATTGAATGAATAAGAAGTGAAAGTTTGTATATATGTATGTAATATGTATGTATATATGTGTGTAGGTATGTATTTATTTATGTATACTATGTATGTATGTACATATGTAACTCACCATCTCGTAGAAGCAGCCGGGCTTGCGGCGGAATGCGTAGGGCCCGTCGTCGGGCACGGAAGAGACGTCTTCCTCCGACGACGTACACACGCCCGAATCTGGGGAATGTGTGTTAATTTAAATTACTTTGTAAAAAAAATAATCATTGATATTATTATTTACATTCACTGTAAACTCTGAAGGCTGGATTATGTTTGTAATTTAAATGGGACTTGTGTAATGGGACGAATTATTATAAAGATTGATTCATAGCATATTTTAAGAGCATATTGTAAGACACAAAAAACGTGTAACCGAATTCGTCTTTCGAAGTCAAAAAATTGCAGTACACTTGTGTTTTTGTTAAGTAATATAAAATTGTATTTATCGTTTTATTTACAATTCAATACTCAATACTTCCTGTTTCTGTAAGGTGGTGCTCTCGATGTATTCTTTTTAATTTCACTAACATTTTTTTTAGAAACTACTACCGTGGCCACAGCACCCCGTGCCTCCCTCTTGCTTCTCAAATTCTCCTACAACGTCCACATCCCCTCCAATAACCTCCCAGATCTCTTGCGGGCCTTTTACATCCAGGCCCTCTGATCTCGCGAGGTCCTCAAGACCCCCAGACCAGTAAGACCCCCTAGACCCCCAAAGTTCCCCATACTAACCTCTGTGCGGGTGCGCGGGCACGTAGTGTCGATGCTTGCGCCGCTTGTACGGGCGCTTCTCGCGCTGCAAACGAAATATATGCGTACTACTACTGGTTTTACACTTTGTTTTGTTTTTACTAGTGAAAACGACCCTTAATTTTTGAAAATTGCTGTTTATTAGAGAGATCGTCTCTTAAATATGTATAATAATAATATATATATATTTAATAGTAGAAATTATCCATAACGTTTAGGGATTACTGTTTGTTAAAGACATCGTCCCTTAAATATGTATGTATATTGTATAATACTTGAATCATATAGAAATCGGCCTTCACTTTATGTTATATAGGAAGACTGATATTTATAATTTTTAAATATCAAATCTCAATTACAATTTCAAAGAAACACGCTAACAAGAACAACTTCAAATATATTATTATATCAAATTTTTTGTTATATTTTTGTTATAATAGTGAATTATTATATAATTCTTTTTAAAAAACAATTACCTAAAAACCATATTATACACAATATACACACCAAAACACAAATCATACGATTCAAAACACTTTAAAACCAATATTTAATATTTGACTTGAGGACATAAATATGACCTACATATTATATTGCATAGACGAGAAAACCTTTCTTTTGCAAAGTTGGTAAACAGTTCAGTTGTAACACTCACCTGCCTCGGCTGGTCAATAGGCGTGGCGGGCGCTCGCGGCGGGAAGTGCTGCACGGTGTAGTCGCGTCTGAAGGCCGGTGCGATTGGCACGGTCGTGTATTGCGGTCTATTAGGAACAAAGTTTGTTTTACAATTAAATCTATTCCGTCCTTTCTTACGTCCAACTGCTGGGGGTGGGCGTCCCTTTAATATGAGGGGGATCGGGTTACAGTCCACCACGCTGGCCAAGTGCGGGCGGACTGAGCATGTATTACGAAAACTTGCTAGGTTCTCTCAAACATCCAGGTTTCCTCACGATGTTTTCCTTCACCGTAAGACAAGTGGTGATCATGTCGGAAATGATCCGCATGTAAATATAAGAGGTGCAAGACCCGGGATTTGACTGAATTCACTCGGTTACCCAAGCGAGCGTACTCCCACTGAGCTACCACTGTCTTTATTATTCATTTGTTTAAGAATGTAATAGGAGGTAAAATTGATAAGTTTGTATGTTAGGGTAATCTCCGAAAATACCGATCCGATTCTAGAAAATCTTTCATTAAACAGTTAGAAGCTACATTAACGTTTAGTGGTTTGTAATTAAAGCAGGAAAAAGAATGGTGTTCGAACTAAATCCCCATTTTTTTCTTCAATCTCATACTTTAGTTTCTGAGATTGAAGCCAGATCAAAAACAAATCACGCGACGGAGGATTTCAATTTATAATACAGGTAGCGTGAACCTAAAAATAATGTCTTGTCACACAAACAGTTCACAGCAAAAGCACTTTAAATTTCTCCCCAATTCGAAATTCCCAGATTGACGTTCCCCAATCATTTACCCCAAAAATCAACTATTACTAATTTCAAATCTAACAATAGTTAAATTCAGATCCCAAGACTATCCACTCCATAACTCACCGTGGAGGAGGATCAGGCAAAAGCCGGTTAGCAAAGTCTTCCTTTGCGTTGCTTATATTAGAAAAAATTAAAACCATAAACTATTATCCAGTACTAATTCCATCAAAACTTGCTATATTTCAAATCACATCAAAAAAATTACAATAATATCTGCCAATTCTTCCAAAACCCTTTAATTTCCCTGGCAATTTTCCTAATTGTCCCTAGAAGGAAGGGATTAGTTGAAGTAAGATAAGCCCTTCGGATCATCAAACTTTTTCTCCATACAAAACTCACCGTGGTGGAGGATCAGGCAAGAGCTGGCTGGCAAAGTCTCCCGCTGCATATCTCCTCTCCGTCAGCAACGCGGTGAGCCTCACCAACTCCCTCTTGGCGTGTTCCCTCCTCGCGACCAGCTCTAAGAGGGTGAGGGCTCGGGCAAGATCCCGACGCAATTTGAGCATCTTCTCGTACGAGCTCTCGTCGTTTTTCCTGTCAATTTTAACGTTGATTACGTATAAATTTAATGAAATTGCTTATTTTTACTCGATTGACCGAACCGAATCACCAAGAAGGGTATATAGTTAATTTTTATGTACCTATATTAGTTATTCTAAAAAACAATATGTACATACAGACGAACATAGAACCTCCTCTTTTTTGAAGTGGGTAAAAAATAGAGATATTATTTTACGTTTAAATTTAGAAAGTATGAAATCGCGAGCAATTCGAAAGTTTTGTACCCAGTAAAAAAAAAATGTAAAATCAAAGTTATTACGTCTTCTTTAAAAATAAGGAAAAGACCTCAGTGTTTAGTTAAAAATAGAAACGACGACAATCTGTCGTAACTCATGGCACACACCGATTCAATTCCCGCGCGAGGTAAATATTAGGGCAGACATTAGAACAGAGAAAAACAGTCATTATATATCCCTGCAAAGAAAAGTATTAAGAGATTCACATACATATATAATTTTGACTATGGGCCTAACCTGTTTTTTCTAGTCTGCATTTTCTCTGTACGCCGTCTAAATGCTAGATAAGGATTGTTTGTCGACTGGCCCGGTCTACTCTCCGTCTTGACTGACAGTATGAGAGGGTGTTGCTGTAAGAGATTCATATTTCATTTAATCTATATTTACCAGGTGCCTTTTGTATTTATAATATAATACAGGCAGCGCCAACTTTGGCTAATTTTGTCACTAATAATGGCCTATGTGTTACTCCAGGTCATTGTTTATTTATTCACTAAGTTTCATCTAAATCCGTCCAGCCATTTGAGCGTTATGGAATAACAAACAGACACACGCACGTACGATACCAATGTGTTAAGTGCAAGGTGTTGAAATAACCATCTAGCCTACGAAAGGCTACAACAAGCAATTATCTTCATGGTAACTTATTATTGTACTGTCACAATGTTCAAACACATGGCAAATTCTAGTTTTAGTGGATATTATCGATTGATATATGGATTTTTTACCGCCACAGGGTTTTACCGTCAACTTACCAAGTCTTGGGGTGTCACTGGGAATTTGTTTCTTTGGGACTCGAACCCAGAACCTACAGATATGTAGCCGTACATATGCTACCAACTACCCTATTGAAACATATAATAAGCAAACAAATAACTCACGGTATTCAACCGCTTATTCAGCCAGTAGTCGTACACGGCTATGACGAGGTCGTCGTGCCTCTCCAGCAGTAACTTCGCCTCGTTAAGCGTGACCACCGTCTGTCCCGAACTCTTCTCCAGCTTGTCCATCATTTGTTCGAACTTTAGGTCTGTAGATGAAGGGTGGATAGGTTATGATACATTATCTCACTATGTTCTTCTATTTTCAGGTCTTTTACAAAGGATATCTGTTATTTTTATCTAAACAAAAAGTTGGATCCAAATCGTTAGAGCTGTTTCCGAGATTAACGAAATAAATTTATATTATTTATAGTATTTCCTGAAATTAGCCCGTTCAAACCATAAGAACTCTGCCTTTTTATAATATTAGTATAGATACAAGAATTGCTCATTTAATATTGTAAGATAAGATATCTGGCAATAACTATTATATTTTGTTGGTCCCAAATCAAAACTATTACAATCCATATCCATACTATAATATTATAAATGTGAAAGTGTGTTTGTTTGTTTGTTTATTTGTTTGTTTGTCCTTCTTTCACGTCGAAACGGAGTGACGGATTGGGGTAATGTTTCGTATGGGGATAGTTGGAGGGCTGGAGAGTGACATAGGCTACTAGTTTTTACCCCGGGACTTTACCTAATTCCCACGGGAAAATACTTTATAATACAATCCAAAAAAATATTATTGATCAGAATTACTTGAAATTTGGTATTAATGCTCTTCAATAAAATTAAATTAAATAAAATAGAGGGTGAAATTTTGTATGACACTACCTTTTTAGAGTTTTTTTGGTTCTGCTAGTATTCATATAAATAGTACGATATAGCCTATATATAAACTATTGTAAAACTCAAATAGTACTGAATATTAAACAGACTTTCAACGTTATATTGTTTGAAAAACGGATGAACTGCAGTTTTTGAAGCGCTACGAAAAGTTTTGTTTTGAATACATGAATTTTTCGCAAGCTACTAAATCTCAATATATAGAAAAAGGCAATGCTTTCGCATTCAACAATTTTTGCAATAAACTATCGATTCACCCTCGCGCTGCTCGGATTCGTCCCTGATGCGATCACAAACAAACAGACAGACAGAGAGAGAAAAATTCTAAAAACTATAGATTTGGCTTCTGTATCGACATTAATGTCTATTTTAATAAGATTTTCCCTAAAATATTTAATGTACAGATTCGGCTTAGTTAAAATTTTTCTTATATGTTACATAGAAGATAGATATAGATAGAACAATTAAGTTAACAATGTTCATTATTCATAGTCGTTGATTCACTGCTGTGCTTGTGCTTGTATCTAGAGTAATCTCAGAAACTGCTGTAAGGATTTTCATGCGGTTTTCATGTATAGAAAAAGGGACTATCTAGGAAAGCAAGATATTCTTTTTGAAGCGCAGAATAAAGGTCATCAGCACCGAGCAGAATAAAGGTGAACCACCAGATCTTATAATAATAGAATAATTTTTATTTATGTTTAGAATTTTCTTCTTTACATTAAATAAAAATTCTAATATTCTATACTTAAATACGAGAAAATATTTATATACCTATATCTTACCTGTTAATTCGGGATGCCGTTGTTGTTTCAACCACCTCTCGTCCTCTGAGTCGATGTCGTACTCTGGTGCCTCTTGTTCCTCCCATAGAGCTGTAACAAGAAAACAACCATACAAAATTATTTTATACATACAAAATACTAGTTTTTAATTTTAACTTGTGATAATATTGATGCTACGATGTTAAGGGATGACACCTGATTACACAAGGGATGTATTCGAATTTCGATAAAAAAGAATTTTTTTTAGGCCAGAGCGTAGCCCATTCTCACCACGCTACTTATATCAATATATCAGTTATGCTAACATTTTATTATAGACTAGCAGAACCCGCGACTACGCTCGCGCTAAAACTCTAAAAAAAACCTCCAAAAAGGTAGGTTTAACACAAACTATCATCTTCTATTTTACTCTCTTACGGGATGAAGTTCAAAAAATGCTAAAACACGTATTTGTTTAATTGTATTGTAGAGCATTAATACCAAGTTTTCTGATCATAAATATTTATTTGGGTTGTATTATAACGTGTTTTCCCGTGAGTATGAGATAATCTTCCATGGTAAAAAGTACCCTATGTCACTCTCCAGCCCTACAACTATCTCCATACAAAGAATCACGCCAATCACTAAATAACTCTATTTTGACGTGAAAAAAGGACAAACAAATAAACATACTTTCGTATTTATAATATTAAGTATGGAAATATAGATTTAGTCCTAAACTTACAGATAGATGGCGCTAGCCGTTGCCCACGAGCCTCAAAAGAAGCGGACAAGCAAGACAAAAAGCTTAAGAAAAATTAAATTGCCTTCACTCGCCTCAGGTCAAAAACATGTAATACCGTTTATATTGTTATCTCAATTACTTGATGGCTGATAAAAATATAAAGCCAAATTTCATTACTACACAGTTCGGGGAGCGAGAGGTCAATAAATCCATTTTTGTATTTATCCCTATATAATATTATAAAGGTAAGTGTGTTTTTGCTCCTAAATCATTTATATACCAACTTTAAAAAAAAGGCTTCAAAGGTACCATTGGTAGCCGGTAAGTAGGTCAGACCGAATATAACGTCAAATTATCATAACAGAGCGAGTAGCGATTTTGTCACTACAAATTGAGTCGTATTTCTTCTGTGTATGTCATACTGTGGGTCACGTAAAGCGCGCGAAATGGCGAATTATCCGTATCGATGTGATATTTAAAAAAAAATACTAAATTTTAGTTTTTTTGGAGCTGCATATTTTTTTGTACAATTATATAACGATGTTAGTTATTGCATAAAAAAAAATAAAATATCCGAACATTCCTTATTCGATAAGACCGGGGAAATATCTGACGCAAGACCGACATCTCGTATTTATCCAACACAAGGGGTGTAACATCGTCAACTTTTCAATACCCGGCTATTACTGAGAATTTCATGACAGAAAATCCCAATGATTTTCTGTCATGAATGACTGACTATACTTCGGCCGATTTGAGACTCGAACCCAGAACCTGCGAACCTACAGCTGTATATGTTAACCACTAAACCAACGAAGTAATACAGGAAATAACCAACTAATATCCTAAGCTAGCTTCCTTTATAAATGAAACAATATAATTCTCATATCCTGTTATGTTTAATTTTAGTAAAAGGACGAGCGTGACTCGAGTTCAAGAACGCTTAATGGCACATTGTAATAATAAATTTAATATTAAAACTCCTTATATAACTAAAATAAAGATCTATTTTCATAAAGAAAATTTTAATAAACGAGATTTATTAATACATTGTCTAGTGGTTCATTAATTAATAATAATTATGTATCTATATTCTATACATACATATAATAAAATTGTGACTGAGTCAAATCTGTACATTAAATACTTTTTGGAAAATCGTATTGTAATAGTCATTATTATCGATACAGAGACCGAATCTAGAGTTTTTAGAATTTTTGTCTGTCTGTCTGGGAACCCTTCACGAGAAAACCAGTGGATAGCTTTTGATGAATTTTGCTATGATGATAGTTGGTTATCCAGGTCAACTTATAGGATACCTTTTACTGCGGGAAAATATCTCATCTCTGAGAAATCTATACTAAACGTTAAAACGTAACTAGGGTCGAGCCCGAGCGGTGCGAAGGTGAGTCTGTAGTAATTATATAAAATTAATAATAAAAAAAATATCAAAATCAAATATGGGACGTTTCGAAGCGATTCAAATGAGCTCAAACTGGAAAGTTTCACTAATAGCCACTGAAGAGTATCATCAGATCTTCGTTATGGTGTTAAATTATATGGCTTTCCGGATTTCACATACTTACAAAATTGTCATAGAATTCCAAGATTTGAAAGCAAAGTTAATTATACAGTAATCATTCTCTAAACGTAACTTTTTCTTCAATTATTATCTATTACGTATAATATAAACAAATCTGTCTATCATATTTTTTAGCCTGCAAGAGACCAACAAATAACAAATTTAATTAGAGTGTATATTTTTTATATGAACCTATTTTTATGATATTTTTTTAATAAATTATTATCAATCAATGATATATTCAAGACATGTTTGGGCCGATTATATATAAAAGAAAACTTAGCAGAAACAACTGAATAATTCTTTAAGCCAATTTAAAGATTTAAGTGATTGCGATGCGCTTTATATTTATACGTATCGGGTTATGTGACGCAATTATTGAACTCCGGTCCTCTCGCCGCAGCCGTACAACACTACAACGGGTAGACGTCACGTGACCATTTCTACCCCTAAAAGAGGAGTTTAAAACTTGAATTGATTTCAAATTTTATATGCCTTTTACATAAAAAGTAAATTTTATTGAAGTATCACCTGCTGCTAGTTGTTAAATTAAAGCAACAATAATAAACACCGACATAATAATTAAAACCAAACTAAATTAATAGGAATAACAGGATAATCTGGTAATCCCACGTTCATAATTAAATGGGAACCAAACTGTTTATCATACATTAAAATATAGTACCGAACTTCCATCGGCGTTTTTGTTTTGTAAAATCGTGTTTTTTCGTAAAAGATAAAATAAACATTTAGTTTTTTTTTTTGAAAAATTCTATAGATAAAAAAAGTAAAACAATATCTAAATACGAAATTTAATCCAAATGTTAGTCGTTTCCGAGACTTATTTATTTATTTGAGATACTCGAAATAAATTTATATTATGATAAATCACACTACTAGTTAGTATAAATACGAAATTTTATATGTATATATACATATCATGTTTGGCTCAGTTTGTATCAACTATCTGGTATCCACAACACAGGCCTCGTAGCTTATCATGGAACTAGATGGTGATGTGTGTTAATGTCCCAACATATTTATTTATTATTTATGTTTGTTACTTACTACTTCATACTAAAACGGTTGGATGGATTTAGATGAAATTTAGAAAACAAATAGACCTACCTAGAGTAATACACAAGCTAATACTAGTAATAAAACTTGCCAAAAGGTGGCGCTACCTGTATATAAAATAACAAATATTAAAGGCATCTTGGGACGAACCCGAGCGAAGCAAGGTTAAGTCGTTAGTATTTAAATATAATAGGCTATTATACGTAATATCTGTAAAGCGAACTTCAAACTAGTACATTGCACAGCCGGTCGAGCTCTGCAAATGATATAATAGTTATAAATACAAACGACAACCGCAGTGGCTGGAGAAGGCCGTGTGTAATCGAATTACTGATGCATACGAGACTAGAAACTAGGTAAGGGCTCTATAATATAGAATTAGCTGTTGATTGCGACTTTACAAAGTGTATGCTTACGTTTAAACTACAGTTATTAACAGTGAAAACCATAAAATTAAAAAAAAGTTTCATTAAAAACAGTTGAGCGGACAAAAAAATCGTGGAAATAGAAAAATGGGATTGATGCAATTTTTATAATATGTACAATGTACGTTGTATATATTAATAATTACATTTTTATGTGTATTATTAGAATAGAAAAAAAAGTCACTCAAAAAGGGTATTTTTCCTTAGAAAAAATATTTTTCTTAAAACACCATTAGTGAAATAAATATTTACATAAAAATCCTTTTTTTTTTCATTATAACTTGCGAAGATATCTCATATCATATAACTATACCTAAACAAAAACAAAATTTTTAAGTATTTAAAAAACTATATGAAACATACGAGTAGCATTATAATACGATGGAATCATTTACTTTTTCCTAAAGGAAACGCTAATACCTTGGCGGACTCCCAGTTGTTATTCAATGTGCCGCTGTAGCGGAAGGATGTTCGTGAACGTAAAGTTACTTCAGACCGAGTGCGTTCCAGGGGCGAGTTATTGGTATAATGTTACGAGGAAAAGAATTAATATTTAAAACGGTCATAGTTTTTAATGTTCGTGTCATTTTAATAATATTGTGTTATGTGTGGTGTATTTGGTATTCCCCCATGTTGTTTTCCATATTACATACGCCATTCTACTATTCGTTGTATTCACCATCTGAATTTTAGCATACGAGGTATATATATATATATATATATATATATATATAATGTTTACCATTTGTTAAACAAAATTCATTAAATATATGTTTAATTTTCCAATGCTATTTATTCATTTAATAATCGAAGCGCAAATTTTAAGCTCCAGTTATTATAACAAATGTAATTGAGTTTGGCTATACTATTACTGGCTCCTGTTACTATTTAATGATAAATAACAGATTATATGTTAAATATTTAAACTGAAACGTAGAAATTTAAAAAATGTTTTGTGGTAGTGTGCCGGTATAAACTTCCCTTCTGCAAATTACTAAGAGCCAACTTAAACTTTTCTAAACTCTAAATAACTCCACCCAAACTTTCATACTTCATTTAGCCAATTTATAGGCTACCTCAATTTTAATACGATGTAATTATCGTAATACAATACATATGTAAATTTTTATGTGTGGGAAAGAAAAAAATTTATAAGATCACAGAATAATATTGCGTAGTTGAGCGAGTAGAATATTGCGATTTAAATAACACGCCCGAACCATGCTTTAGTATAATTGTCAAAATAGTTCTATATCTGTGAAAATTCAAGGTCGGAATAACA